TATATATATATATATATATATATATTCTTTCATTCTTGGATTTCCTCTTTTTTACTTTCTGACTACTCTCATCCCTGATTATTAAAGTTGAATACAACAATGATAACAGGGATGTAGCCCTGTTATTATATATATTATATACATATATATATGTTACTGGCAAAGTATGAAACGCTTGCATTGTATAGAATGCCGGATGTTTTTAGGCAAAGTATGAAATGTGAGAAATATTACATACTTTCCCTAGGCATTGTATAAAATGCCTAGGCATTTTATAAAATGCCAAATGCTATTTGGGCAAAGTATAAAATAAACATACTGATGAGCTTATTATGTAAATAATGTGCATGTTACTGTGAATGACCAAAATCGTTGGTTGTGGACTTTCTCTGGTGAATGTTGACAATCACATAGTCGCTTTGGTGAATGTCCGAAATATTTATTACATCCGATTTGATATTAATTTATTCGTGGATATAATTACATTTATTTGATATTTTAATACTTACTGACGATAGATTAGAAGAATCATCAGTGTTTGGAGTATCGGGCAAATGTATACCGGACAATGGCACCTGACCTTAAAAAAACATCAGTGTAGGGTATACTGAGCAATGGTACTTGACCCTAAAAAACATCAGTGTAGGGTATACCGGCAATGGCACTTGACCTTAAAAGAAACATCAGTGTAGGATATACCGGGTAATGGCTCTTAACTAGGTCTACTATGACTAGACCTTTGGTAAATGTCCGAAATATATACTAGGTCTAGTGCCACTGCCCGGTATACATTTGCCCAGTATATCCTTCGCTGATGTTTTTTTAAGGTCAAGTGCCATTGCTCGGTATACCCTACACTAATGTTTTTTTAAGGTCAAGTGCCATTGCTCGGTATACCCTACACTGATGTTTTTTTAAGGTTCAGTGCCACTGCCCGGTATACCCTACACTGATATTTTTTTAAGAACGAGTGCCATTGCCTGGTATATATTTGCCCGATACTCCAAACACTGATGTTTCTTCTAATCTATCGTCAGTAAGTATTAAAATATCGAATAAATGTAATCTGTCATCAGTAAGTATTAAAATATCGAATAAATGTAATTATATCCACGAATAAATTAATATCAAATCACATGACGTTTTGAATTTGTCATTTTTGAATGGCATTTTGACGAATCGGAGATGTATTTTATACTTTGCCAGTTTCTCATTTGGCATTCTATAGAATACCCTGGCAATGTGGGAAATATAAATCATTTCATACTTTGCCGGCTAATTTTAGGCATTCTATACAATGCCATATTTCATACTTTGCCGGTAACATATATATCAGAAGGAGGTAACCAATAACTCCCCTCTAACATACATTAAAACTACATCACTGTTTGCTCTTGGACTCAGAGTTACATTTTCGAAGTGTGCACATTAATTAGATGCAGTTTTTTTTCTTTACTAGCAATGGTATCAGCCATGGATGATTCAGTGGGAAAAATAGTCTCAACTCTGAATTCCCAAAATATGTTGGACAATAGTGTGATACTCTTCACTACAGACAATGGAGGTCCTGCAGCTGGATTCAATAACAATGCAGCCTCTAACTGGCCCCTGCGTGGTGTGAAAGCAACTCTATGGGAAGGGGGAGTAAGAGGAATTTCTTTTATATGGAGTTCACTGCTGAAGATCAGGAGAATATCTAAGGATTTAATGCACGTCACTGATTGGTTGCCCACACTTTATCGAGCTGCAGGTAGTGAGTTCATTCTTTATACATTATAATAAAAGTTCAGATTTCTTCTGTAAATTAACTTATTTCTCCTCTGAAAAATCTGCAAAAAAATGTTTTTGGAAGAAATGAGGCAATAAATAAATGAATTAAGAGAACAGTTTAAATTTAAACAAATGAAACTTAACATACAGTACAAGAAAGTTGAAAAGTTTTTTTTTTCTTCATTTATTTCTTAAAAAAAAAAATTGTTTTCTTATTATTTATATTAGTTCTGTAAAAATTTTAAAAAACCTTTAGAATCTCTATTGTATTAATTGATAAGCATTTGAATTTATGTTATCCCAATTTTCTTACTTAAATAAATACACTTATTGATATCTAAATCAATTATGTGTGCTTATATTATTTTTGGCTCGCTTCTTATTCAGTTTTAAAAAGATACATACATTGTTATTGTGTTATACATTGTTAATAATTTCATGCAGATATAATTATTATTGTTTATGGGTTTAATTCTGATCACTAATATGACTGTTTTGTTTTAAAAATGTTACTTTAAAATTTTTCTAAACTGGCTAGCATTTTTTTATCAGTGTATTTTTTAAAAATTGGCCATATTTTGTTTTTGATATCAGACATAATAAAATAAAGATGTCATTAAAAAAATTAAATAGCTTGGAAATTAATGCTATTAATGTAACTAGAATTGTTTTAATATTTTTTTTGTATTGTTATAATAATGTTTTGTATTGTTTAATATTTTGTATTTTGTCATTAAAAATTGTTTTTACTATTCCTTTCTTCTGGGTTGAACCAAATATTTTTTCCTGGGTCATTTTAAATTTGGTTAAAAAAAGTTTAGTTTAAAATATCAAATACTAAACCAATCCTTTCTTGGTCAAGGTTTTTAATTTTGCTTAGTTGTAAAATTGAAACAATAACTTCTAATTCTCATTTTCAAGTCTCAATTATCTAAAAAAGTACTAAGCGATTTTATATACCGGGTTCGATTTAAAATGGAGGCTTAATTAACAATTCATAAACTACAAATTTTTGAAATGTTAAACTTGGGGCTTTCCTCAAATGTTCTGAAGGGATTCACTATTCAGGCATATATATTCTTCCTGGATTAATATTTATTTTTCCTGAATTGTTGAATCAAAACTATTCTAACTTTCAAGTAATTCTCTGGTGGGAAAATAACATTATTAACTAATTTTGAATTTCGTGAAATTCGATATGGATGACCCTGGTCGGACAACAAAAAAAGTTTAGTGGTCAAAAGAAATTGGGATGCTTTATTTTTTAATGGTGCTGTGACATATTTTTTATTAACATGCCTAAATTATAATGGTATTATGCACACTATTGTTTAATCATGCGTTGGCAGTAATTCTATTGACAGACATGAAAAATGGAAAGAAACCATTTTTATAAGCAAACAAAAAAATATGTAGTATGTCTTGTTACAAATATTGATTCAAGGAAATCTTTAACATGTGTTTTATTTCCTCATTTCCTAGATTTTTCTGTTGACACATAAATGTTTTTAAGATAGCTTGAAAACTTGTAGCGAGTTCTGCAGCAGCAATTCAAATGCGTTAAAATTCTGTTCGCCTTTTAAGAAAGCTAATTTTACCTAGAAATATTTCTATAAAATTTTTTTAGATTTATGGTTATGTAATGTTGTTTTTGGAGTTTAGATTACTAAATAAATTAACTATTGTACCTGAAATAAGTGGCAAAGTCTATTTCATTTTATAGTTGTTTTTGAAATATATCAACCTATTTGAATACCAAAATTATATTTTATATTATGTTGCGAGAAAGAGAGTCATATATATAATTTTTAAAAAAATATTTTATTATATAAACAAATTTGACCCTATCTGAGTCTTAAAAATAATCCTTTGTTGCTTCAATTTTTGTTTGTCAGGATAGTTTAATGTCATGTTCTGAAATTGTTTTCCTGCTTTTTTTGGAACCTGAAAAGGCTTTTAGATTCATGATGAATTAAAAAAAAAATCTAAATGTAGTTAGCATTAAGTTTGAACTAAAAAAATATGTAAAATAAAGGAGTGTTTTTCCCCCCATTCAACTGAGAATTAATTTGGATTTAAAGAGTTGCAAGAATCCTACAAGGCCAGTCAAATCATCTGTATAAGGGGTAGGCAACTAGCGGTTTGGGGGCAGCTGTGACAATTTTTTTTAATTATTTATTTATTTTGGCTTGCAAAGAGAGTCAGAAAAATTCATTTTGAACATTGGTGTTGCTGGGGAAATAGATGGGAAAACAGCACTCGCAACTAAAATGCCCTTTTTATTAATTTTGCAGTTTTTTATTAATTATATTTTTTACTAATTTTAAAATTTGTTTAATTTTAAGTTTTTATGTATTTTAATTTGTTAAAGGAAGTTTAATCTGTTACTGCTTCAAGCAAAATACCAAAGCTAACCATCAATATTCTGGTAGTGCTTTATTTACTTCGCTTTAGAGCTGTACCAGCAACAGTCTTAGAAACATCATTGAAGATGATCCAAAGACATGCCATCACAATTTTGATCCTCTTCTGAAGGCAGGTCTTGTCAACCACTCACTCACTAGTGATACTTGGTGATCTGTTGCCTGTACAGTCTACAAAAGTAAAACATTGCTATAAAACAGTTGGGCAATTCCATATGTGACGGAATGACATTTTGACTTGCAAAATAACAATTAATTGAACTTTCTATGTATCTAATTTCAAATGAAATTTTTTTTCTCTCATGCATATCATTATTATTGGCATAATGCGCTTCATAAACTAAAAAAACAGGATTTTCTACCTTTTTTACTTTTAATTTTACGAACTTCTTATTTGCGTGACGGAATGACATTTTGGCAACCAAGCTTTCGGCATGCTGCTTAGAACTGGTAGTTTCTGCAAATTTTGCAGCTATTATTTTTCTGAACTATTTTATACTTTTAGTATAATGTGTAATCAATGTAAAATACGAATTTGGAAAATTAACTTCAGGTTGGCTAGCAGTTATTAACATCTATTTGCTGTGACGGAATGACCGTGACGGAATGACAAAAAGTTTAGTAGAAGAAAGCCTTCATTTAAAAAATGTTTTATTAATATGTAAATGATAAACAGAATGTAACAGATAAACAGGATTAATATTTATGTAAGAATTAGTAAAAATTTCAACAGTTTGAAAATTAGGTTGTCTCTGAAGAGGTTTTATATCTAACTTGCCAATGTCACATCTTATCTTCGTTCTCAGGAAATTTATGCATTATTAAGACATGTGACGGAATGACGCAAAAGAAGTTACTTTTATTTTATATTATAAACTTAAAATGTTTACATTTTGTTCTATATGCATATTTTTATCAAAATATTGCAAAAGAAAGATACATTTCTTTTGTTTTAAAAGTTTTTTTCAAGAAAACAATTTGAGCACAAATGTGAACAATTCACTTGTCAGCCATGTGATTACTTTAGAATGCTGCCAGATTCAAAAAATTTGAAATTATCAAAAATGAAACGGCAATATGTAGACTTTGGCTATTTTTGAACATATTTTTAAAATTAAAATATGCAATTCATAAAAAAAAAATTTTCACTTAAAAGTTGGCAGTTCCGTGGAATTGCCCAGTTATATAAAATTAGAACAGTTGTATTTTATTTATTTCCATAAGTTTTTATTGTACAATTTATACCTTTTCTGAAATGCAAAAATTGCTACTGAATCCAAAAATTTTAAAAGGTGCTGCTCACCAACCCGCAACTCAGAAACTATCGCTCGTCCCTAATCTGCAGATATACGAAAACACGCTTAAAGTCATCGGAAAATCCCTTGACTTTTCAAGAGTAAAAAAGTCATAAGTTTTCCAAATTAATTTTATTTAATCATAATTCTTTATATTGATTACAGGTGGCGATGTGTCCCTTCTAGGTCCATTGGATGGATATGACATGTGGGATACACTGCGTGGTAATAAACCCTCACCCCGTTCTGAAGTTTTGTTGAACATAGATCCTATACACCAAAACTCTGCACTACGAGTTGGCCAATATAAAATTATCCAAGGTAAAATGTACGATGGCAACTGGAATGGATGGTATGGGCCATCTGGAAGAAAGAATGTATCTGAGGTCATCTGTGGTCCAAAACCAGCCAATGCATCCACTAATTGTCAACCTACTGTAAGACCCTGCTTATTTAATATTGAAGACGATCCCTGTGAATATTATAACCTGGCAGCTGTAAAACCTGAGGTAACATGTTCTTAACAAATCTTCTAACTTATTTTTTTTTAATTGTTTGACTCTGACAGTGAAGGTTAAGTGCAGGGTATCTGCACTCCTGAATCATGGAAAGTCATGAATTTCGGTATTGAACAAAATTTCTCATGAAATGTCATGTTTTTAACTACAGTCAATTTGTGATAACTTGAATCTGATAGGACTGACAAAAAACTTCAAGAGATTGGAAGTTCGACTTACTGTTAGTTTCGATTTTGGACTTTCAAAATATTGTGGGATTATTTAATTAATGCTTATTGATTACAAATCTTCTAAATGCTTACAATATTTTAGGAAAAACTGTAAAGTATAATATAATAACTTACTTTATTATTTGTACTACATTTTACGTTTTTTTGAAGTAATCCGTCACTTTACATTGAAGTAATCCCTTTTGAGTCTCTAGAAACAGTAAATCTTCAATTTTCTACTGGTGCACAAACATAGAATTATCAATTCCTTCTCGACTCTCTAGAAACTTTTGAAGAACTTCGAGAGATGCACGCGCTTCAAGTATGTTTGGGACTATTGTTTTTTAACCTTCTTCCTCAGCAGCACTTTCGTCATTTTCTTCTGTGATCTGCATAAATTCTTCATCGGGAATATCACCACAAACAGCAATGTTTTCATCGAAGTTTATGAAATCGGATTTCTCAATTACTTCCTCATCTTGAAGCTCTTCTATCACAGGTTCACTCTGTGTTTCTTTAAAAAAACCACACTTCCGGAAACAGTTTCTTATTGTCATTTCGCTTACATCATTATTCCAATCACTGGAAAGTAGACTCATGGCTTCAAGTACATCAACTTTGAAAGAATCTTACATAGTCTTCAAATACAACTGATGTCATCCAAGGCTTTTTGTTAGACTTGTAATCCGAAGGATATGTTTTTATATTTTTGAAACTTCGGGGATGTTTGTATTTTCCGATAACAAGTAAGGGCAATTTCTCTGTCCCAGGCGCATTTCCTCCAACTAGGACAGTCAAACGTTCCTTGCTCATTTTACCCCCTGAGCGGTTTTCATCCTTAAACATCATAGTCTTATTTGGAAGACATTTAAAAAATAAACCCATTTCATCAATATTGAAAACATCATTTTCACTGTATCCTTGAAGTAAATTTGGTAACGTTTCATTTAACCACTGTTCACATACTTCAAGAGGGACAGCTTTAGCTTCTCCATGAAGAGTGCGAAAGACAATATTGTGTCTGCTCTTGAATTTTTCTAGCCACCCAGTACTAGCGTGAAAATTGTCTATTTTTAACAGTTTAGCAAAATCTATCGCTTTCTCACGTAGCAAAGCACCACTTATGGGAATGGCATTTTCTCGATTTCTGTACTGCTGAAGCCATTTCAGAAGAGCTGATTCCACCTGGGGAAAGGCACACATATTCATTCTTTTAGACAGCGGATTCGTAGATTCATATCGTTTAAGGATATTTTCTCTTTCTTTTAATATCGTAGAAAGGGTATTCAGGAGAATTCCATACTTCAACGCTATATCTTCCTTCTTCATGTTTGGATTTCTATCTACATCATTAATAAGATTAATTTTATCTTCCAAGTTGAGAATTTTTAATTTTCGCTTCGACTTCTTTAGAGGTAAACACTTCTTCCACACAATCTCTAACAGCAAATCATAAGCATAAAGCTTGTTCAGACCAGAAAAAAGTTTACTCATTCCCCACAGGTGTTATCCCTTTATCTCACACTGAAAACTTGTTCTGATCAGAAAACAAATTTATCATTCCCCACATAATCCCTTTCTCTCACTCTGACTAAACTTGTCCTGACCAGATGAGTCTATTGTGTGTGTTGCAGAGGAAGGGGCAATATATCAGCTCCTAGGTTTTTTTTCTTGCTTTAAAAGATTCAGTAATCTTTTTAAAAAAAATGGAGTTAAAGGGAGTAAAATTTGAGTAATCGAGAATAATTAACAAGAAATAAAAGATAAAAGGGTCGGGACCTCATAAAAAAATCGAGTTATAGTAATATTCGAGTTATAGTGAATTAACTGTATTTTTTAAAAAATAAGGAAAAGTCATGGATTTAGGTCACCGAAAAATCTAATTTTTAAAATGGCATTTACCCCCTCCCGCTCCTCCCTCTAAATTTCATGGTGTTCCGAGTATCTAAATTTATAACAAAATCCCCACTCACAGTCATATTTTATTAAAATATAAAATGTTTTTATCATGCTCTTTAAAAATTATGGTGTTCTTTCAAAAAATGAAAGAAAAATCATCATTTCTTGTGGGAATTAAATTTTAAACTTCCCTGATTTTTGAATTTACTTATTTATTTATTACTTTATGTTTATTTTATCAATTTAAAATTCTAGCTGGAGCAAAGCAATAATTGGCGAACTTTTTTCCCCCCCGAATGCGAGCATAAAAATCATGAGCATTTCTTTCTTTACCAATGATAAAGGAAAGTATCTTTAGAGTATAATTCCGCAGAAAAAAAAATCTTTAAAATTCTGCGGAAAAGAAAACCAAAATTTTTAACTTCCCAAAAGAAAAATCATTTTGCTCTAATCTTCTGCAAGTACTCAATTGCGTTCTGCGACAATTGCCTGCGATTTTGTCATGGGGCTTTGAGAGTGGCCAGCAATGATATCCAGTGGTTAAAGGCTGATGCTGCATGCTTGAGCGGATGAAGGAGAATTATTAAATTTATTGTTGTGTTTTTAAATAGTAACTTCGGTAAGTCATGAAAAATTCTTGGAATTAGTCATGAAAAGTCATGGATTTGAAAATCTGAAATTTAGCAAATACCCTGAATTTTTTTTTTAATTGTTTGACTTGGACAAGATGAAGTAAACAGTCTTTGAATACTTTCATATAAAAGTATCAAGCAGTAATATTGCTACTGGCTCTGCAATGTCCCAAATATCAGCCTTTAGCATAGTGCCAACTCAACTGGATTTTGCCAGTTTCTCCTGGTTTTTATACATTTTTGAAAATTCCCTAAAACTGAGTAAGCTTCCACAAGAAATCCCTATTGAAATAGAATTTTTGTGCAGATTATTGCTTGCTTGAATATTTAAATAAATGTCACTAATACATAATAAAGCGGGCCTCATTTACAAAATTCAGTTAACTATCTTTGATTTAAATTCCTATTACTATTCAAAATTATGAAAAAACTCAATACATAACATTTCAAGATCATTTAATATTAAATCAAAACTGAAAAATATTGCAGTTTTTTTTTTCTATTTTGATGACTTTGAAAATCCCTTATGTGTAAAATATTTAGTATATTTTGCAACAATTATCATTAAATTTATGTTATTTCATAAAATCTGCTGTATTTTTCCCTATCTTGTTGTCAGTTATGCTTCAAAAAATTAAAATTTGGGTGATTTGGGAAGGCAACATGTTGAATCATCCCACAAACCATGTCTTTGTAAAAGGCACCTTTGTATGTTCATGAAAAAAATGTGCTGTATATTTGCAAAATTAATGGTGATGTATAATAAATAGCAATAAAAATATAATAAACAGCGATTGAGCCACGGTGACTCAGGGGATAGAAGGCTCCCCCCCCCCTCCAATGATGCGACTCAGGTTCGAATCCCAGGGATGGCAACGAATTCCGCACTGACCACTGTGCTGATGTGAAATATCATCAGTGGTAAACGAATCATGGGTTTGAGTCCCGTTGCTGTCAGGCTATCCATGGGAGGTTTTTGTAGTTTCTGCAAATGCGGGTTAGTTCCATTGAAAAGTCCTCCACAAAAGCAAATTTCTCCCCTGGAGTTTCCTTTTCTTCTAGATTGGATTCAAATTGAAAAGGCTACGGAGTTGTACATTAGTATTCGTAAACTCAAAAAATTGGGTTGGTTGTTCTACGACGATGATAAAATAAAATAAAAAATAAATAAGGATTAAAAAACTGCCTGCCAGTTGCCACCTGACTTTTAGTTTTTTTGACAAATATATATGCCTAATTGTTTTTTATTATTATTTTAATAGATATGGAATTATTATACATATTTTATTATATTCTGAAATTTACTTTACTTTGCGCTTGTTTCTTAAAAGTAAGAAAGTCATTTAGAAATGAACCTTATTAATATTTACCATACTTTGAAAAATGCTTCTAAAGAAATGCCTTAACATCCACAACTTTTTTTAAACCTTAAAAATTTTAAACCTTGGAAGTTGCATGTTTTTAGGAAGTTCATCTATAAAAAGATGACAACAAATATATTCTTCAAATCAGGAGGACAGTTTATTGGTGGCCATCTCATGATACCATAATGAATCACGAATTTTTATGAGAAAAAGCTTTTTTTTTTTAAAGTGTTTACATTTTCTAAAGTTACGCACGCTTCTGTACTTAACTAAGAACTCATCTAAAAAAAATATGTATATTTCTCTATCCTCTATTAACGCTTCATCTTTCAAACTGTGGCCACTTTGTTTTGAAAATATTTTAAAATTATTTTTGACATACATCACTAAATATATGGACGCCTGTTCTCATTCCTTTCTTTATGTGTTGCTATTTGTGCTTTATTTTGTATTTTTCTAGCATTTTTTGCTTGATATCTTTTATTTTTTAATCTGTTTCTTTTTTTTTATTTGGTGCTCCTTGTGTGTTGATATAATTTGCTTTGTCTATATTAATACAATATAAAAAACACTTTTTTGTGGTTATAATCATGTAAACTAGGGACAACATGACATTTGTTTGTTGTTTTTCTTCTGATTTTTTTTTTCAATTTTATATAAATTTTCATTATATTATTAAAAGTATAAAAAAAAGCAAGGAAGGAAATAAAAAAAAACATTTTAGAAAACGAAGAAAAAATGAACCAAATCAACCGCTTGATTATATCTGGAAAAATAGTTCTTTCTAATATTGTATTAATTTAGCCAAAGCAAAATATAACAATACAATTGTGTGAAGAGTGCCAAAGAAAAGAATTTGATTTGTAATTTTACAGTTTTCCGGACAGACGAATTAAGCGTGATTCTTCATGTTAGTTTGAAAGCCACTTAAAAATGTATCTCATTACCTTCTATTTACACTTTCGTTCCATACTTTGTAAACTGGCAAATAAGATATACTATTAAGATATTTATATAATTTGTTGGAATCTGTTCTGCCTTCACGATTAATATATTCTTGTACGTTCCTATTTATATTTTTTGTATTTTTCTTGAATTTTTGTGATTTCTTCATGATAAAACTTTTTTTAGGAATTAGATAATCTTCTTTTTGATGCCCTTCATACTATTCCTATTTTCGTTTTTAAAAGCCCTTACAGGTGCTTTTTTCCATGGGTGTTTTTAAAAAGTGCTTAACTTTCCCTTATCCGAAATATGATTTTTTTTTTAACCATGTTGATTTTCATTACAAATTATGCAAAAACACATTGTCCTATTCTACGTTTTCACAATTAATACAACCCCAATTTATTCTGGCGTACCTCCGGTATGTAGTGTATGAAAGCACCATTTTTTTACATGTTTTATGAAATACTTGCGGGTTCACACTTGCGTATACCAAGCTGTATTCAGTGGTAAGTATTTTTGCAACCTTTTGCCATATTTTCAGACTTCATTTTCCACCCTCTGTAATAGAATCGAAAAATCTCTCGAATTTTTGCTGATTACGGGGACTCACTAAGCATTGTCAATTTCTTTTTCTCTATTAGCGATAGAAAATTTTATTTCTCTTGTTAATTTCATCATTTGTGACGCGCCATCTTTTTCGTCACTGTAAATAAAACCGGATAAAACCATCAATTGTCAAAACTTGCCAACCCTGTCTAATTATGATATTTTTCAAAGTGTTTACAAATATTCTTTGAGTACTTATTTTTTGTTGAAAAATTTGGCCCTGGCTAAGAAAATCCCAAACATTCCCTGCACTCTGTGTGTTTTTAAACAAGTTAAAAATTTTAAATTTTCCCTTTCGTTAGAGAAAATCTTGCTACCCATTCCCTTTCAGAATCCTTAAATAAGACCTGGAAAAGCCCAGTTTAGCATATCTTTATGACTATAAGACTCTGTGAATCATGGAAACTGTTAACGTAAAGTGCGAACATAATGTGTATATTTATTTTAAAAAGTCCTATTTTCTTATAAGTGATAGCCATTGAATGACAGTTTATAATATATTATCTTCTTTTAGATTCTGACTGCTCTATTGAAAAGATTATCAGAGTATAACTCAACTGCTGTACCACCTGGTAATAAACCGATGGATCCAATGAGTAATCCAAAATACCATAGTTACCAGTGGACCCATTGGATGGATTGAAGGATCACTATAGAATTTTATTCTTAGTTATTGTATAAATTGCTCTCCCTTGTAAATAATATTTTTTCTATTAAAAAGTGTCTCTCTATTTAACATAATGGTCTAAAACCCTTTCCAGCACATTCTTATCATACAGGAAAATCACATAAAATATTTCAAAGAGGTTAATTTAAAAGGGCCAAGAAAATTACCAGAACTTAATCTCATAATAAATCTTAGCTAGTAAAGACACACAAAAATGAATTGCAAGACGTTAAATGTTCTTATTAGTTTATTGATTAAAACATGCTATAGGGATGATCAAAAGCAGTAAAAGCCTGGTCAAATCTAAAATAAAGGGTATATTTAAATGTTAATACAGAAGGAAGGAAAAAAAAAACTTCTTTCTTATATATTAACTGTTGTTTTGTGTTTGAACTCAAATAATAAACTCACTAATGCAACTATTTATAATTAGTATTTAACTAATCCTTAAATGCCAATAAAGACCCAACCTGAATAGCTTTGTTAAACTTAAGTACTTAATTTAGTTAAAGGTTGCAATAGAAAAAATATTTTAAGATTACTTTAATTGAATTTTTTTCTTTTAATTTTTTATTTTTTTATTACTGAGTTCACAAAGAAAGACAAAAGCATTTTCTTTATTCAAGAAATCATTTTTTAAATGCTGACTTCACTCTTAATGCTTATTAGCAATATATAATCGATAATTATAATTATAACACTCCTGTGTATTAGGAACAAGATAGCTCAACTGCTATACCAGTGCATGGGTCGTCAAACTTTTTTGATCATCGACCCCTATATAATTTTTCGAAATCTTCATCGACCCCCATAAATGTAATTTTCTGTTAATTAAAATAAAACTATTAGATACTGTGTTTGCACATTTATTTTATGATTTTAAACATTTATTAAAGTAATAGTACATTGTGTAACAATAGTTTTATGAAAAATATATTAATGTTGAAATTTAAATACCTTAATATTTATTAAATAATAAGTAATTATAAGTAAGTAGAAATAATAAGTAAAGTCACTACAGATTTATTGCTTCTTAATCAATGAGATGGGTGTGTCTGGTATTTTTTTGCAAGGTTCGCTATATTGGGTTCAAAATTGGTCAATTTTAATCTTAAATCCCCTCAAAACTCCACATTTAATTTATTTCCGTACTTAGTTAAGATTGAATTTACGTGACTGAAACCATATAGGAACTTGGAAATGCTAGCATAAATGGCTGAGCTATTTCGTAAAGTTTCACATATTTTTGCATAATATTTATATTTGTCCAAAATTTGCTTATTGTTAAATTTTTAAAAAGCGTCTTTGCTTCAAGATCCGATAATAATTCAGCAAGCTCATCTTGCAATTTTGTCTCGGGCTGTACTAATCCATATTATTAATGCTTACCTTCTTTTTTACATGTATTGATAATTAAAAATTATTGATATCTAAACTAAACGAATGGTTTTATCAAAACAATAACTAATTATCAAAAACTGTAAAAGTTTTAATAATGAAACTGCAAATATTCAACACTGTGTTCGATCCCCGGCCAGACACCGGATTTTCGGGATACAGAAAATCCTCAGCAGCCATGTCGTATGATTATGCGACATGTAAAAGATCCCTGGAGTGCCTTATTGGCTCTTGGCATTTCCGGCAAAATTAAATTCCTAGTGCACTTTAGCATCCAAATAGTCTCAGTGCTGCCATCTAGTGTGGCAGAAACTAGACTTTCAAATTAACATGACCAACGGTATCTCACCCATTGTGGTGGTCCTGAAAGAGTGGATACCACCTCCTGAGAACGCACTGGGTCTGCTCATCGGCAAGATCAATTATGCAGCTCATTGGAATTTTAAAAAAAATATTCAACACTGTTCACAGTTTGCAAAGATAGCTGGAGCTGCATATGATATTTGCGTTTTTAACATCAATACTCGTCACATGTGACATTTGGACAAGCGCACATAGGCATATGACTTATAATCCAGCTTGCTTCACCCAAATAAATATATGTTTATTAATTTTTGTTTTATAAAGAAACTGATATTAAGTCAATTACAAAAAAATTCACTAATTTTACATAAAACAGTTCTTAATTCGCAAACCACACAAATTACGTATGTGTGATTTGCGTATTAAGAGCTGTTTTTTCTTCGACCCCTGGAGGTCTATATAGACCACTTTGGCGACCTCTGCTCCGGTGTATTAGGAACAAGGGTGTAGTGGAGTCAGATTGCGACGTTCTTAGAATATTGGTCAAAAAGGAGTATATAAATTAGAGATCGTTAACATATTTTTAACAGGGTGGATAGCCAAATTATTCAACAAAAAATAAGCACTTCAAAAAACTATCACAATTAGGCAAGGTTGGAGAGTTTTTAACAATTTACGGTTTTATCTGGTTTTAACCGTCATGTAGAAAGAGAAAAAAAACTTTTGGCATTGTTTTCTACAATTGTCAAAATTTTTTAATCATGTAAATCGAATGGCGTTCTCACACGCTCCGGACTAACGATGTGCCGAAATAGATTGGGGTTGAAATAATTGTGAGAACGCTGAATAGAACAATGTAGACAGTGTCTTTCTGCATAATTCGTAGCGAAAATCAACATGGTAATGAAAAAAGCACCTTTAAAAAAAGGTTCGCACCCTGTTTTAAGCTATCAAACTCTTAACAGAATTTTCCCTGTGATGATGGTACTAAAAACAATATACAGTAGAAGTCCATTAGTCCTGCATCGCTCCGGAAAATTGTATAAACTTTGGTTTTCTCCAAAAGTGTGTCTTTAAAACAAATAAAAACGTTCGAGAGCTATTCGGAAGTTTTCGGGATCATCCTTCTTTTGGACAATTGCAAAGCCCCGCCAGTAGATGAGTCAGTTTCTGGAAATATTGTTGCTACTCTGCTCCCACCTGACGTAACATTTTTGATTCAACCCATGGACCAAGGGGTTATTCAAAATTTTAAATGCTTTTATAAAAGGTCTTGTATTCAAGGCCTGTTAAATGCCGACTGTGACGTGACTGATTTTCAAAAAAAGTTTACAGTAAAAGATGCGGTCTATGCTATTGCACTGTCTTGGAACCAAGTAAAAAATACAACACTCCAAAAATGCTGGAGAAAACTTTGGCCAGCTGCAAACCCTGCATCTGACCTAACTCTACAGACTGATGAGTAAAGCCCGGATTTTGATGAACCAAAAAATGCCCTTAAAAAGTGCGAAAAATGCAAAAATTGCGCTGAAAAGGCCTTATGACATGACTTTAAAGTAAAAATATTGAACTAAAACAATGTTTTACTCTTTAAAATTATTATGAGTCATTTCAAAAAATATAAAGCAATGCAATACTTGTTCAATAAAGTTTGAAAAATATGTTTACATCCTAAAATAACAAAAAAAAAGGAAAATATATCGACTCCAAAACATTTTCATTTTGTATAAAAACTTTAATGAATATAACAACTTCCAACTCATAATATTGCTAAATATCAGAATTACTTTGGATTATTAAATTTTCTTTGATATTTTGAAATGTAAACGAGCGNTTGGGGTTGAAATAATTGTGAGAACGCTGAATAGAACAATGTAGACAGTGTCTTTCTGCATAATTCGTAGCGAAAATCAACATGGTAATGAAAAAAGCACCTTTAAAAAAAGGTTCGCACCCTGTTTTAAGCTATCAAACTCTTAACAGAATTTTCCCTGTGATGATGGTACTAAAAACAATATACAGTAGAAGTCCATTAGTCCTGCATCGCTCCGGAAAATTGTATAAACTTTGGTTTTCTCCAAAAGTGTGTCTTTAAAGCAAATAAAAACGTTCGAGAGCTATTCGGAAGTTTTCGGGATCATCCTTCTTTTGGACAATTGCAAAGCCCACCCGCCAGTAGATGAGTCAGTTTCTGGAAATATTGTTGCTACTCTGCTCCCACCTGACGTAACATTTTTGATTCAACCCATGGACCAAGGGGTTATTCAAAATTTTAAATGCTTTTATAGAAGGTCTTGTATTCAAGGCCTGTTAAATGCCGACTGTGACGTGACTGATTTTCAAAAAAAGTTTACAGTAAAAGATGTGCTCTATGCTATTGCACTGTCTTGGAACCAAGTAAAAAATACAACACTCCAAAAATGCTGGAGAAAACTTTGGCCAGCTGCAAACCTTGCATCTGACCTAACTCTACAGACTGATAAGGAAGAAGACCCTCTGACCAAAGTTTTGGATGTCGTTAGAAGTGCTGACAATCCTTTGAAAAACCTGCCTGAAGATGAGGTAGGGGAGTGGCTTCCAATCGCCGAGAATGAGCCTGTTGAACAAGAACTAACCGATGAGGACATTATCAACATTGTAGTAAACCCTCAGCCTACTCAAAATCTTGAAGAAAGTGACTCAGATGCCGAAACGGAAGAAAAAATCAGCTGAGGCTAGTACTAGCTACAGAAATTATCACCGAGCCGGGAACGTGCCGGATTATTCTACTGTATATGAATCTTAGATTGAAGCTACCCTCCCTAAAATGCGCCATTCTTGTTTCCGTAGCACCAGACGACCTTAGACTTTGTGTCCGGAGGAGTTCTTAACCTAGACAAACTATAATGGCCTTTCCGCTATATTCTATTAATAGACCATAATCCTTGAACTTTACTTGGGGAACATTCACTAATTGCGTATTTTCATGTGGTTCCCCAGAGCAGTAGAGCATCGCAAAGCTTCATCCCCTCAAAATTTCCCTTTCATTCATTAAATTTTCTGTACTCTTAAGTTGTTTTATGAGAACAAGATTTTAAAATAGTATGAAAAAAGGGGTTTATAATATTTTAAATGCAGCAAAAAATTTTATTATAGTTTTGTAAAAATATTCAGATTCGGTGTAAAAGTGGGTATAACAGATGGTAAAATAATTTCAATCAAGAAAATTAGTAAATAATTTAAATTAGTAAAATTAAGAAAATTCAAAGAAAAAATTCCATCTTTTCTTTAAAAATCCCTGATTTCTATCCAAATTTCTGATTTTTCCAGTATAGAAAAATGTCCTGATAATTCCTGGTTTTCAAGGTGGGTGGCCACACTGTTTAATCTACTTTCAGGGTTAATCTTGCAAATGAATCATTCAGCACTGCATCTTTTGGCTTCGAGTACCGAAATATAATTTTTTTGAAGTATTTATATAAACTGAAAATCTTAGTAACTCATTCAGGCCAAAACAATCCCCCCCCCCTCAAGATATCCTAAAGATACTTTTTATAAGATTTCGTTGATAACCCTACCGATATTTTCTCTTGAAATAAACAAAAGCCAATGGTTTGATGGATCTAGATCATTAAGAGATCGAGTGTTTGGAATATTTCATTTTATATAGTTATATTTTATATGTTAGTGTACATTTCATTTTTAGTCTTGAAGTGAAAATTTTTTGAACTCAATCGTTCGAAATCCGTTTAGAATAGATAATTAAATGTAAAGAATAATTTTGAATAATTATATCATTTAATAATGGTCAAAAAAATTTTAGTGAGAATATAAATTTTTACATTTCAAACTACGAAATCAGCTGAATAGCCTGAGAGAAAAGGAACTAAGAATAAGGTTTTTTTTCTCTAAATAATATTATTCAAAACAAACTGGGTGACTTAAAATTACATCATTCAAAATGGTATGAAAAAAATGTCTACCAATATTAAATAAGCAATTACTAGAAATTTTCTTTTACATTACTTTGCATAAACGAATTTATGATTATACCAAAAATTTGAATCACTTAAAAACTTCAAGGTATTCAAAAAGTGAAATTAACAATGAGTGACCTTAACTTTCAACTGCTCCTCCAGATTAAACTATTGGGGCATTTTTCAGATTGCAGCTACTAAACACAAAATTTGGAAATTTTACTATTGAAGAGTCGTAGCATTTCTTAGTGGCCACTTTTTAAATATTTCAAACATATATATACATAAAAACTTGACATTAATAATGTAGGGTATTTAGTTTAAAACACTGATCAAAATATGGTTAATATTAGGAAGTTCATTTCTAAAATGAAGAAAAATTAAGAAAATAATTAAGTTTTCAGATTTAATAAATACTGAATTATTATGAGAATTTAATAAAGAAACACAAGCATTTTCAATGAAAAAGTGAGGATTGGATGGCCATTAGTCACCCTATGCTGTAAGTGGCTACCCACTCATTTAAAAGGCAAAGAATCGGGAATAAAACTCCTCCAGGGAAAAATAGGAGGTATGTTTATACAGAGAAAGTATATTAAACTGTCGCATGAACAAATTAATTAACATATTAGAGGTCAACCCGTTGAACCACTTAGTTTGATACTCAGTTAGCGAGAATCCAATCATTAGAACTAACATTATTCAGGTTTAGTTTTGCGAAGTGAAATGCCAAAAACAATCCTGTTTTGTGAGAAAGCACTGTAAAATATCATAACCCTACAGCAATCTGAAACGTTTCAGAATAAATTCAACAATAAAGAATGCCAAAAAATACATTTTTCGAACAGAAAGGGAATTTAACGAACACATTTTTCTCGTCGTATTCTGAAAAGAAAAAAAAAAGAGAATTCAATAGACAACATCTACCGATCACTTTGACACTTTATTTTTTCACCTACAAGAAATTTTTTACAAGTCGTTCAGAAATTTTTTTTTATTTCATTTATTTATTTTTTCATAAAAATGGACAGCTAAAGATTTGCAGAGGATTTTTTTTTGTTTTTCACACGCCATGTGAATTGTATAGTCGAGATAAACACAACGTAACTCCAACTCAATTATTGTGCTCGACTACAAATCTACACTTGTGCACAGGTACGACGCTATGCTTCTACAGAGATTTACTCCACAGCGGGTCCCAGCTAAAATGGTATAAACAAAAACACTCGAATCAAATATAAATTCTGTTGAAAAAGAAATTCTGAAACCGTTCATCGACTTGCTTTCAGAAACTGTGCAAGGCTTGGCTTAGTAATGAATTAACTGTGGAAGAAGTTTTTCCTCTCAGAGTAAATGACAATGTTCCAATCACTGTGAATCCCACCATATGATAAAAGGATGGATGTTAATATGCACAGCTGCTTACTCTACAAATGTGGCTAAATAGTATAATATATATATGTAAGTATGATTAGGCAATTTTTGTTGAAAAAGTATCTCAGAGAGCTTGGCAAGGATTGCCTTTATACAACAGCGCCAATTCAATAAATACACATTTATGAAGAAAATAATCAAAAATCTGCTTTGTGTTACCAACTTAATACAGTACATTATATTAAAAAACCAGTACTCAAACCTTCAATGCTCGCTTTAACGTCGATGAAATATCACCAAATATATTAGACAGTTTTTGCTCTGAACCGTTAAACATTTTACCGAGTTTAAGTCCTGATTGCCACACAATAGCAAAATACATTTTGACAACACTTGATATTTTTTTGTAGGCAGCTCAAGTTCATTGAAATGTGAAAACAACATGAGCAGAATTGATTTCACATTCCATATCACATAGATTTATAGGAAGGCATTGTACTATGATTCAAACCAAAGAAAAAAATCAAGGATGTTGCTTACTAAGTATCGCTTAAAATGATTATAATCATATTTAGCAGCAAAGTTTGCTGAAGTCAATAATTTGTTACGCATTGAAGATTTGACATACAGGGGGGGGGGGGGGATAATAGAGGCCTGAATTTATTTTGATACAAGACAGCTTTTAAAATCGATTATTAGCCTTGAGATGCATATACATTTCGCAGACATAAGCTACATACTTTTGATGTTGAGTGCTGAAGCACAAAGAATATACTGGTCGCTTAGCACAAAGTTCTACATAAATAGGATAAAAAGATAAATATATCAAATATTCTATTAAAACATAACTAACATTCTTTCATATTCTTGAAGCTTTAGATATTACAAGTATGAAGGAAAAAAAATTACACTGACAATTATGTAAAAGAAAAAAAAATGAAACACCCACAATGATTATAAGCAGATAAAACAGGCACAAGGAGAAAGTTTCACTATACCTTAAATTGATGCCATAAAAATCTTTTTTTTTTTTTTCCTTTCTCTTATCAGGTTACAAAGTTATAATACTAAAAATTTTTTTCCATCGACAATAGGCATACAAGACAAACTTATGAATAAAGCAGTGACATTTCTCTTTCATTTATTTTACAAGTAGCAATGAAAGAAATACCAAAAACTTATTAATGTTAAAATATGAAAAACAAAATATCTGATTAAAAAGAATATATCCTAAGAAGTACTATTCAAAAGAAAATTCTAAAATAAACTTTTTAGGAAAAGAAAAACAAGTAAGCCATACATTTGAAAATATTTAACAACTAAACAAACCTAAAAAAAGGTAAGAAGAAACAAATGATTCTTTTTCCTCGAAACCATAAGTTTCATTTATTGTTTTTTTTCTTCTCAATATATGTTGAAGCTCCAAGTGCCTCAGACGTCAGGTGTTAACTGAATGGCTACATATATAAATTCATTTAAATTTTCTTGATTTTTTCACCCACAACAAGAGGATTGTTTTTGCGGATTTCTTGAGCACCAAGCTGTTTGTAATCGAATTGACAATTATGTTCGTTAGAGTATCTGTGAATACTACAGAAGAGACCTTCACATCGACAGGGGAATCCTGTAGGGGGAAAAAATAGTAACAATTTAACAAATGTTTCACTCATTACTGATAAACACTTCACATAGCTGCCAACACGGAAAGGACAGTACACTTTGCAACATAATATAAATTTCTTGATAACTATTGCCTTATATACTAAATATTTAGAGACTTTTATACCTGTCAAAACACAAAAACTTTATTTCATTAACAACTATTAATGGTCTGTAATATTTTCCATTTATGATTGACATTAAATGAACTCAAATTTAAAATGTTTTTTTTTTTTAATCATGCTAACTCATAATTTTGAATAGATAGTAATTTACTATAGATAAGTTAAAAAGATTGTGATTAATTTGAAAAGGGAGAACTGAACAAAAATAAACTGAAAATTTCAGAAAAAAAGAATTCCAGAAAAGAAGAAAAGAAAAAATTTCAGAATTTCAAACAAGCAATTAAGTAAAAATTTAATTTCAATAAGGATTTTTTTAAGGAACCTTGCTTAGTTTTAGGGAATTATTTTAAACTAAAAATTGGCAAAATCCAGTAGTCTATTGGTGAACCCAACAGAGTTGGCAGCTATGTTGCAATGTTTAGAAAAAATTCCTATTTTATAATGCTAAAAACCCCTTATTTGCTCATTGAGGATACTTGACATATTTGCAAATACAGTAGCATGCACACAAATTTTTCAGATAGTAGAAACAAGAAATTTCACCCAATTCTTTCTTAATATTTAATACTAAAATTTTAAGCACATCATAAATTTATCAAGTAAAGTAAATTAAAAAAAAATAGTATATAGCCCTAGCTGAAATCCACACACAATTAACAATATTAATAAAATTACTACCTCATAACAGAGAGAATTTTAAAGAATTGAAAATAGTAATTTCAAATTAACACAATGATAAAGGGGATCTAGCAGCCACCACAGTGAAGTGAAGTACCACACATTATAGAATTACTCAAGCCTTTCGCAAGTAAGAAATAAGTTAGCAAAATAGAACTATAACTATTTCAGTAAAGCAATGCAACATAGTTATTATACAGGGTAATTCAAAATAAATATAGCTGTTACAAATGGCTATAACTATTTAATAAAAAATAAATAATCGATGAAATTTACACAGAATGTAAAAAGAACTTCAAAATTTTGTATACATGCGTCACAGATTCCCCTCGGTTACATGGACAACATGTAGGCGGCAGTCCATTTCACGACGCATGTTCTGAAGCATTTGTGACAGTCACCGACGCAAAGCGCATTACAAAGCGTTCAGTTGTTTTGGGCATGGGAAGTACATATCTGGGTCTTTGGTCTTTACATCACTGGTTTTTGATTGTTTGCTCATGATTATTCTTTTCTGCACTGTGATAACACAATGAAAATTGTTAAACTCCAACAGGGTGCGTAGCCAAATTAGTCAACAAAAAAGCACCTTTTAAGCACTCAAAAAATATTTTTAAGTACTTTAAAAAAATATCATAATTAGACAGGGTGGTTGGAAAGTTTTTGACAGTTGTCAAAAATCATGAAATTTTGATCATGTAAAACCAATGGCATTTTCATATGCTACAGACTGACTATACGCCGAAATAGATTGAATTGAATTAATTATGAAAACGTCAAATAGAACAAAGTGAACTGTGTCTTTTTGCATAATTTGAAGCGAAAATCAACAAAGGAAAAATCTCATTTTGAAAAAGGAAAAATTAAGCACTTTTTAAAAAGACACCATGAAAAAAGCACCTTCAAGGGCTTTTAAAAACGAAAATCTAAGCACCTTTTAAAAATGCTACGCACCCTGTCTCACATGCAGAACGCTTTCCGCACAAGGCTCGCCATTTTCCCTAATGAACTTGTGCACACGCACAGATTTTACAAGGTTAGAGCTGAAAGATAAAAAATAGGGCGGAAACAAAGAAAGCTTTTTTAGTTGGCAACTACACACATGCTAATCAATTGTCTGTAACTGATGGGTTCTTGATTCTGAAATTGAAGGCTCTTGATTCTTCATTTTCTATCCAAGAATCCATTTTGGGTTCCCCATTCTTTCGTATATTGTTGCTATTTTAGACTAATAATGAAAGAGGAAGATGATGATCAAGTTTCACAATAGCTTAAAATCTATTTTCTAATAGATATGGGGGGTGGGCACACAGACTGTCAATAGACAATTGTTTTGTTTAAGCTACCTTACAACTAAACTAATTCACCTGAAAGAATTGGACAGACCCCTGACTGAACTAGACAGTTTGTGAAAGGTCCTGTTATTGTGAAAAAATTACTCGTAATTTGTGAATATAAAATAAACGTCAAGTCACATTCTTTCAACCAGGGCCCAGCTTTTGCGAATTTGTGAAAATAGGGTCCTGTTATTGCAAAAACTTTTTCAAGGAGTTTTTAAATTGTAACTGTAAAATTATAATAAAAATTTAAATTTTAAAAAATAAATAGCAATTTCTGATACTAAATTAGAGATGCAACATACAAATATTTGGCATTTAGCATATACTGCTGAACGTAGAATATTAATTTCGGACAGATAATGGAAGAAGCGTCTACCGAAGACAAAACTTAATTCGTTTACATGTCCTTCTCCCCCCGGGAAGGGTTTATTCGATTAAAAAAAAAAAAAAATGAAGATAAACAAATTTGTGAAGGGTCCGATTAAAAGATAAATTATTTTGCACAGGGTCCATTTTTATGAAAAGATATTATGTGAAGAGTCCATTAACGGACCCAAATCTCCTCTGACCCATGTAAGTTGTTAACACTGTTAAGAAAAATTATTTTTAGGAGTCAAGGACATTTATGAAAATAATGTACATTCAAAAGAAAATTATAGCAAGAGAACACCAGTAAATAGAGGCAAAATATGTGAGTTTCCTATAATTGAAAATGAGTAATCAAAGATACGGTAACAGACACCCTTAGGATATGATTCTAACCAATATATCCAAAGCAGACACTAATGACATTATTTAAAAGAAATGTACACAGGGCAAGGAGCACATAAAATTTTTTTTCTTTTTAAAAAAAAAGGTAATTAGTTTATCAAAAAAGGTGACAATTGGTAGTTTTTTTTTCTTCCTTTACATATTCGCTAAATGCATTATTGTAAATTGACTGCAATTCAAGTATTAGTAGAAGTGCAAATTGATCTTGACAAGCAGTCACTTTATTATTTCACTTTGTCAGGCTACCAAATAAAGCTAGAAGTTTAAGGAGAGAGAGGAAAAAATGATTTGTTAAATATCCCCGACTGAACTATCCTAGTTCAAACAATATGGTTCTAACATTTTTTTAATAGAAATTTTACAATATTTATCTTCCTTCTTTTTTTAACAATAAGAATGTCTTACCTAAAACAAAAAAAATTATGGCTATAAAATAAAAACTGGATCAAATAATAAAAAAAATCATTATACACTCCTGGTTTTTGCTTCTTTTAAAGACTATTTTATTCATTTCTGTAGCCTTTTCTCCAGATTTCATATTCTCGACACCCTTGAATTAGCTTCATTCATTTAAAATAATTCTTTTTTTTTTTCCACAGCTGGCAAGGTTTAAGACAGAACGGATTAATCTACAGTTTACACTGTCCGGTAGCATGACACTGTCCCACAACAATGCAGAATAATAATGGTGAACGAGCTCAGCTCGTCAGCTTGCATTGGAGCAAATTTCACAACGTGAGTAGTGCTCGTTACGAGCCACTACGGTCTAAATCTTGCTCCCGAGCGGAACTCATTTGTGCGCATTATGAAGCACGATTCAATTGCGAGCCAAACTCGCTCATAACCGTCAAAGGGTTAATGAAGTAAAGTTTTTCTTACTAAAAATCACCAAAAAGGTGAAAACCTTCAAAAAAAAGGAGACAAAAGGTGACTAACTCCTCACCCTGACAATAGTTCCTCAAATTTATCATTAACAATGCAATCAATCAAATTCACAATAAAATCCATTACATATAATCTGATTTTGCTTACAAGTTAAATCCAAATCTTAAACCAACAACCATCCGAATAACTTGCTGCTGGGGTGTTGTAATTACTTTCATTTTACTTAAAGATAGGAGAAAGAAAATAGATTACTGTAATTTACACCATTTAAAGTTTACACAACAATTCATATTATAATCTCCTTTCACATAAGCTATTCATAGTTTTATTAAATTGGAGACCCACTTGTAACATATTTTTATGCACACACACATAAGCATGTTTTTAAATTTTATTTTTCAGTATATATATATCTGTTTCACTACAAATATCGTTTAAATCATTTGACATCTTTGCTTCAGCCATCTGTTTTCTGAATGCCTTTTCCTTTTTTCAATAGTTAATCCTAATTAGAGTTCACACTGTTACCATTTGTTCTAACGAAGTTAATAAAACAACAAAAAAGACCAATAAAAAGGTCAATAACTTATTTTAATAAGCAGGGCTAGCGCTAAGCATCCATCACCTCACCAAACGCGATAAAATCGTACATTTGGTGAAAAAAAACTATGCTTTGGCTAATGTTTTTTTACCGAAAAAAAAGAAACATTCCCCTCAATCCCAGCAACAACAAAAAATTCTTTTAGCAAACCTAGTAGTTTTTATCCAATTAAGGTAAAAAGTTGTAGCAAGATGCATATTAATTATCATCTAACTATTTATGCTTCTCGTGACAATAACCTGGCAATAATATATGCAATAACAATGTTACTTCAGGTTTATCCTTATATTACACTTGTTTACTGATCTAATAAGTTATCAAAAATCAATCCTAACCTATTCCTCAAAGACCAACATATTTTACCTCCTCTCTTTCATTCATAGCTTGTTCTTTACTCCCCCCTCCCCTAACTCCATAATACCTCTTCATTTGAATTTGCATTCTTATAGAATAATTCAATTTAAAATAAATTTGTATTTTGATTTAAAGTTTTAGAAGGTAAAAAATCAATCTTAAAAATTGTTTAAATTTCACATTGGCTATGAATTTTAAAACTTGGCTAATACTTCAGCTAATTTAGTGGACAATAATTTGAAGTCCATAACACGGGCCCTGAATAAGTAAATTAAAACATAGCTTTAACTATTTTGTAGGTACAAGCATAAGATACTAATAGAATTTAGATTTTTGAGACATTTATAAAACAGGAGATTTCTAAACATCCAACCAGTGAAACAAAACATAGTTTTTAATCAAGGATCAAAAGGTTTTTTTAAAAAAAAAAATCTGCATACTTCTATAATAGTAATGTTTTAAACAGAGCGATTTTATGTATAAGTTTATGATTCAGAATAAAAAAAATGTGTGCTCCAATTGGGCAAATTAAACAGGGAAATTTATTTACTTTCACTTAAATCTGACACTAAATTGAGAAAAACATTAACATATTAAAGAACATGATCTAAAAGAATGAAATAAGAAAAGAAAAACCTATTGAATTTCAGTTAAAATCTAACTTATCAACAAAAGAATGTTGCTTATAAGAAAAATATCAAAGTACCAGAAATTGAAACATTAATTTTACCACAAATGCGATTCTGAATGAAGGTGGGGTGAAGGGTTTCCTTACCAGTTAGGCCTACTTTCTTTTTGCATATGTGGCATCTATTTTTCTTTTTCTTCTGATCTTTTTCCATATCATCCTGTTGAGAAGAGTTACCATCACCTTTATCTGAGGAAGCAGGACTTGCTGGTGAGGCTTCATCGAGAAGGGACTGTTTTGACGCCTTTAAATAAATTTATATCTTAATAGAAATTCAAACAAGTCAGTTGTTGTTAAAAATTGTTTAAAAAACTCTCCATAAATCAAACATTCTTACATTAACTTATAAATGAGTATTAATATTGTACAACAGGTTTTAATAAAATGAAAAAACTTTTTGCAAACAATTGATTAACTCTAGTAACTAGTTTCAACCCTTTTGTTGCCACATTATTTTTAAAATTTGTATGAAAATTAAGGATTTTTTTAAAAAATGTTTTAGTTTATATAATATCCTATATATTAATTCATACCAGAGATTTAAAAAAATAAATAAAAAAAAGCTGAAAATAGAAACCTAAAACTGTTGCGGGAACACATTTTTTAAAGAACTTAAAAAATTCATCAAATTGAGCAAGAAAATAGTATTCGCGATCGCAACGCTCGAGTATGCCGTCTAGCGGGAGCCTGTAAATATCAGACATTAATTTATCACGTTTTCATTTAGTTACATCAAAGTCATTGACAGAATCAGACGCCATTTTTTAGCAGCAAATAAGAAACAAAATTTCCCTAAGGAAAAGGCCGAAGAACTTGAAAAAAAAGCTCCAGAATATTAGTAAATCTTTCAGGAACAGAACACGCCAAACATTTGAAGAAAAATTCCTCAATAATTTTTGATTTCTATTATCAACAAACTTGCAACTGACGACTTCCGTTTTCGGATACTGTTACAGATGTGTGTATTAAGGTAAAATGCATTTCTTCTGTCTTCAATTCATTACGAATTAAAGTGAAGTCAACATTGCTTTCGTCATTCCAGTGAATAAATATGAATTCAGAACATACAGAATTGTAATAGTTATAGCATATTCTTCTTCGTTATAGAATAGTATATATTTCTGTATCCATATAATTCGGAAAACAACAATAAAAAATTATCCAAGTTACTTGAAATAGTGCCATTTGTGCTGATTCTTAATTAATTTAAATCGTTTTCTTGGTAAGTTTTTTTTAATTTTGAAAGAATAAGTTCAACTAGAATTCAGCTATTCTGTTTTTAGCTACATATTCAAATTCATATCAATTATAAAATTTTGCTGTGTAGTATGTTATCTAAAAGTAATGAAGGTATAAACTATGTATCTATTATTTGAGAATAAAGTTTTCAAACAAGGAACTTATCATTTTGGAATTCTCCGGGAATCATAAATCAGGTAAGTGCAATGATTTTTACAATAAAAAATTTGCTTGTAAATATTTTTTTTTCATTTGATGATGGTTCTCTACAGAATGGTTTTTTACGTCTGATTAAGAACTATAAGAATAATAAAAAAAGAAACAATATGAAAGTTTTTATTTCAATGTTAATAATTCTTAAAATCGTTTTTTTTATCCTAAGAATTCTTTATTTTCCGTTTTTTAGTTTATAATTTTTTGATAAAAATTGTTCTCAAAATACTTTTGAAAAATTAAATGGTATAACATTATGTGTTTATGTATACTTCTTGTATATTCCAATGTTTGAAATAATATGATTCAGAAAAGTATGGAATAAAAATTCGGTACTTACGACGTATTAACGCCACCGCCGCTACAGATTTGGCGGTTTTTAAGTGCCGCCAATCTACACTTAAAATTTTTGCGACAGTTCATAAAATAAAACACTTTATTTAAAATCAAAATAGTTAATTGGATTTCGGTGGAAAATGAGCCGATATAGAGTTTAGCATAGATTCAAAACAATCATATCGCCATATGAACTCTGATGAATAAGATTCCAAATGAAATAACATTTCCAAAACGTACGTTTGCCAAGATAAAGTTTTATGTTGTGGGAATTGGTACATTTTCGTTTTTTCGGTAAAATATTTCCCTCCTGAAAAAATAAAATTGCATCTTGTTTTGTTTTTGGCAAATCCCAAAGACGAATATTCGTAGCACTAAAAATGGCGACAAAAAAGAATTGTTTTTTTTTTTTTTTTTTCGTCAGCATTCTTTATTTTACGTTTCTTAGTTTCTAAATAATGATTTTTATTGAAACTTGAAATTTTTTGATAAAAATTGTTGTCAAAAAACGTTGTTTACAAAATTAAATTTCATAAAATTATGAGGCTTATGTATACTTTTTGTTCATTTTAATTTTTGAACTAATATGATTCTTAAAACTATAGAATGTAAAGTTTAAATGGGCCTTTCATGTTATATCATTAAATTTAGTAATACTATTTCTCGGGCATTAGGTTTTAACTCTTATAAGAATATAAATATTTTTTTCTGTTAATGTACAAATATTTTTCCGATGTGTTGTGGATATTCCTTCTCTAATAAAAAGAGATACCATTTTGTTTTCGGTTGTGCAAGAAAGAATATCAAGCACTTTCTTTTTTAAAATTAATAAGCCACATTAAAGAAGGAACGTTGCAATGCTACACGCTACATCAACGACGTCTATAACGACATTAACGACGTAACATATAGAAATCGCAGGTATGCGTCTCATACAACAACGCCCCCTATAGCTCGTTGCGATCGCGAATATAGTATAGTATAAAGTCTAAAAATATTTCCAAAATAATTGGCTAGCTTAAGCATGAATAAAAGTGAAAATATTTAAAAAAATAACCGGCTAGCAAAAACATGAATAAAATAAAATAAACACATAAAGAGATAAATAAAAAAAAATAAAAGCAGACGAGAAAATTAGAAGACTTTTTGTAGAACAGAGCTGTTGTTTTTTTAGAGATTAGTTATGTTTTGGAACTTGAGTTTTCATATAACCCGTTACGGGTTTTCCTAGTTTGTTTTATAATATTTTGACTATCCCGTTACAGGTACTTCATATTTGTTACTGTTTGTGTTGTTTGCGAATAAAAGTTTTTCTTATAAGAAACAGAACTGTTATTTATTTAGCTGGATATGTTATAGTAGGAAGCATTCATCCACAGAATGATATAATTGGTGTAATTTGTAAATTATACAGCTCTCAATGTGCGGTATTTGAATCGCGTGAACCGCTATATTTAATTTCAAAGACGAATTAAGTCACATGAACCATAATATTGGATTTTAAATTGAATACGAAGCGCAATATTTGATATAAAACTCTAAGGATACAAAACACAAAGTGCAATCCTAAATCGAGTAAATGCAAATCGCAGTGGATGACTTTAAATCATGTCAATATGAAGAGATGAGTGATCATATGAATGTAATTTTAAATCGGGTTAACAGATGCTATGGAGTTCTTGAATAAATATTTTTCTTTTGAAAAGTAAAAAAAAAGTTTTGTTTTCAACAGAAATTTACACGTATAATTTGAATCATGCATTTAGACAATCCTTTTTTGACATTTGATAATATTGGATTTTAAATTGAATACGAAGCGCAATATTTGATATAAAGTTCTGAAGAAACAAAAGTGCAATCTTAAATCGAGTAAATGCGAATTGCAGTGGATGACTTTAAATCATGTCAATATGAAGAGATGAGTGATCATATGAAAGTAATTTTAAATCGGGTTAACAGATGCTATGGAGTTCTTGAAGAAATATTTTTCTTTTGAAAAGTAAAAAAAAAAAGTTTTGTTTTCAACAGAAATTTACACGTATAATTCGAATCATGCATTTAGATAATCCTTTTTTTGACGCAATTAATTTACGTCGATAGTACCGTAAATCAATGTAATGTTTCGATCGAATTTTCGGAAGTTATTAATATTGATTTTCATGCGGATTTTAATATCCTGATACATTTCAGACAATATGGTAAAATTCGAATCTTGCATTTGAGTATTTACTTTTTAAGGCAATGATTCTATCCACTTTTTGGCAGGTATTGCTATTAATTTCCCCAGTTTTTTAATCTGATATCTTTTATATGATATTATTTATTACAACGACTTATTTTCGAAATGAAACACGCATGAGTAAACTCTTTTTGAGGAGTTCGATTCGTGTGGTTTCGTCGATCTTTTTCTCAGCTGCGGATTTCATGATTTAAAAATAAAAAAAAAATTTCTATTGTGATGATTATTTACAAAAAGCAAAGAAAGTAATAATAAGTGTGCAAAATACGAGAATATACCATCCATAATATAAAAATAAATCATTACAAGTTAAATTTTAAAAAATAATAGCTTTTTTTTCATAAACACAGTGCTTTTGTTACTTTAAATTAGTAACATATATGTTTGTGATCATTTAAAGTATCTTGCAGAAAGATATTGGTGCTAAAGAGTTTTGTCGCAGATAGCTCGAAAATATTCTGCCACAGGGGTAACAGGGGCCTTTTTTGATACATAAAATATAGTACAAAACATTTATACTTGTTTTTAGAGGTGGAAATAAAAAAAAAAATTTTTTTTAATTGTTACAAGAAAAACTTTACTTAGAAAAAAAAAAAAACATAGGTCTATTTAGTATCTTAAATCTGCAAATTTCTTTTACAAACTTTTATTAAATTTTAATTAAATTCCCTAATTTTTTCAGATTCTTAAATTTTCCTGTTCAGCGGCCAACCTGAATATAAAAAAAGTAATCAATACTAAATGCAATCTTTAATCACCAAAGAAATTACAAAAAAAACTAATGTAATTTACATAGCCTAATTTTACATCCTGTAATTTTACACCCCCCCCCAAATCCTTTCATCCTCATTTGAAAACTAAAGGATTTGCTTGGCAATTAAGCATAATTTTAATTGCAAGCTTTGCAATTCTCAAAGATCTCCTCTGAACATTAAATCATTTTGAAAAGTTTTAAGTGCAATTTAAAAAACAATTTTAAATACACTAAAAGAACATCAATATTGTTTTTAAGGAAATCACCTCAGGTTTGCTCTGGTCTTGACTAGGTGGGGTGACAACAACAGCGGGTACTGTGGGAGATGCAGTGGATAAATCATCATCTTTCGGTAAAATACTTTTATCCTCACATTCAGAGATGGCTGAAATATTTAATAAAAAAACATTAACTATGACATATATGAGAAATAAACACTCACTTATAATAGAATGAGTAAACAAAGCCTAAATTTGTTTATATAAATTTCATTGCGATCTTTCTAAATTTCTTACATTACAATCTTTCAAGAAGCTTTCGTGAATCATAAAGGAAGTCCCCTTAAATTCTGACCTGGGGACTTACTATGACAACAATACAGCTTAATAATAATAAGAAAGGAAAAAAAATTAAAACAAAGAAATTTACACATTTTTCAAATTTACGCCTCCAAATTACAGAATAATAAATTGACACATAGTTTTAAAACAGCCTGAGTGACTAATTCACAGGGTTCCCTCTTTTTTATCAAATCAAAAATGAAGGACTTTTTTTCTTTTGAAAAATTATGAACCCTAATAATAGCTTATCATTAAATATATATATTCCCACAGTGACAATGCCTATTAATTACCTTTTGTGAAAAAAAATATATTATAATGCAAGCACTGATATTGTATTTATTACCAGGGTTCGCCAAAGTAGGCTAGGCAACTTAGGCGAACCGGGATGAGTTTATTCTGGTGGGTCCACTCGTAAAAACTCACTTCTACAAGGTGAATTCTTTTCAACATTTATCGTACTAAATCAATAGGTTTTGCTACAAAAGCAAAATAACTGTAAATTTTTGTCCTTGGAGCAAGAACTCTAAACAATTGAAGATACTGATTAAACATTAGTCTAACAGAAAAAAGACTAAGCTATTAATTAATTTCTAAATGCCTAATAACTATTAATTTCTAAATACCCAATCAGTCGTATACTGAAACTCATCAGTAACTTGGGCAACGACACAAAAAGAAAAAAAAACGCTCTATGTCTTTGAGCAGTGGATACTAGGAACTATTTTTTTTGGAGGAATACAAGTTGATGGCTAATAGCACAGATGCTCAAATTTAGAACTTTATCATGTTTTCATAAAAAATCCAAAGAATTAAAAAGGCTGCTCATGCTATAAGAATGACAAATGCAGAAAATATTCTTGGCCAAGCCCTCTGGTCAACTAGTTCTTTATTTAGGGCTTTACTTAGTTCCCATAATCATGTGCGCTACCAGTAGAACTGAGTTTCTCAAACTCTGCAGATTTTGAAGGTCAATGCGAGTCTTATGTACCTTATGCCTACTTATGTACCTTAGAGCTGCCCATCTCCCACAAAAATAGGCATGATCTCTTCTGTAAGCTGTACTCCTCTTGTCCACACCTTATTTATATTTTTTTCAGAATGCTCTACTGTCCTCATGTGGTCTCACTCTAAACAAAAGGTAGAATATATTAATGAAAGGACGTAATGCTTCCTTCCCTTGTCTGTAACACCTCATTTGCCCCTTCATGTCTCTCAAAACGCTCTACCCTTGATTCATGGTCTCATTCTAGGCAATAAAAGAATGACTTCTAGTTATAAACTTTTTTTGTAAGACTTAAACATTTTTCTTACCAACTATTGTAATACTTTAAATTAAGGATTTTAAGAAACCTGGAACCAAAATAAAGTACTCTTCAGGGTCCTTATTTTCCAAAAAAAATATTAACTAGTTTATAACGACTTTTAAGGACCATGGGAACCCTGACAAGGACTCAGAATAACCCAGCTTGTTGAGTAATATATAAATAGGAAAAATTTGGAAACTTTAAAATAATTGGCATAGCATAGACCACAGTTTTAAAAATATTAGCTATATGGACAGTTAAGGTGCACTACATAATGCTGAATAAAATTTTTTAACCTTTTCATAACTTATATGATTGTAACAAAAGTGCTTAAAGTAAAAATTATCCAAATTGTGCTTATTGTTCTTTACTTAATTTAGATACTGGTACATACTTGTTCACCAAATTTAAACAGAGTAATATCATAATCTTTACAGGACAGGTAACTCACTAGATATTGTAGCAGTTGATGCACTGGGGCTATTGCGACCAGCTCCACTCAATTGTGATGGAGCAGGATTTGCGTTTTTTCTTTTCAAAGCATCTTTATAACATTTCGAACACAATCCATCAGTCTTGGGGCTACCATAAAACCCACAACCAGATCTACATAGAGAAGGACTCTGGGACATTTGATTTGTATCACGCTCCATTTGAAGATCTATAAAAATGTAGATAAAAATTAAAGTACATAGTATATGTCTCCTTACTTTTGACAATGTAAACATTAAATTAACAGGCTATAAAAAGGCTACTTAAATAGGGTTAACAAAAAACATAATTTTTTAAAAATTGCCCACTGTAATACAGGGGTGATTGTGAGTCCAACTGAAAAAATCCAGAAAATTTCTTACGTAAAATCATTAATGACGCATTTCAAAAAATTAATGCCTTTATAAATTTAAATCATTGATATTTTCAGAACATTAAATTCTAAATAAATTATATACAGCATAATTTAAATGAATAATTATGTATAAGTTTACTTTTATCTTCAATCACATTTATTATTCTACCAGAAAAAAATATTTACAAATGAAATATTTTTTCATGAATTTATATGAAATGTATAAATTCTAGTTCTAATATTTTTAAATAAAATATATAATTTTTATACACAAATGTGACTGATGATTTCTTGAAATTTCTGGAGCGTGGTTAGGGAAAAATCCGAAATTTTCCGAAGCACAATCAATCATAGTAATACAAGAGGGAGAACACTGCTGCGTTATTCTTATAGAATTTATATTGTAACCCCTTGACTTGACGATTCTCGCTTTTCCCGAAGCGAAAGAAATAACTCATTAAAAAAGCTCTTTAAAAAATGCTGTGTAATAACAAAACACTGATAAAAAGAAAAGTTATAAAAAATAGTATAAAGAATTTTTTTTTCTCAATTTAGAAATGATACTGAAAAATCACTCTTTTCTAGGTTACCTGTCTCACTGTTAAGGAAAAAAAGGGACAAAAATAAGTCTTTAAGAAAAAACAAAATTTCTTATTATGTTTCGCTATGATAACAGAAAAAGGTCAGAAACGAAACAAATTACAATAGGTCCTCAATGCTTGGAGAAAAAAAAGTGTTGTAAAAAAGATCAGAATATAATTTTAAAAAATCATACATATTAAACTTATGGTTCAGTTTAAAGTAATCAATTCAATTTTATTCAATAAGTTTCAATTTTTAAAAGTTTCACTTTTCTATAGGTCCTACAGAACATAAATTAACAAGTTTTAGAACTTACAAAATATTTGTCAAAACTATTTCTAATAATGTGCTGCAAAAATAAAAATTTACATTATTCTTTAATAAATGTATTCAAATCCCCCCCCCCAAAAAATTGACTTTGCCGAATATCAGGCCAAGTATTGGAATAAAATGGTCGAATACAAAATAGTAGCGAATATTTGTCACATCCCTACAACAAAGCAATCACACATTTATATACTTATTATTAGTTCACTATTATTAGAAATATTCATGTACATATAAGGTGGAGAGAAGAAAATTCTCAAATATTATTTCCTGAGAACAAGGTTTCTCTTGTGGATCAAAATTATTTCACAAAATTGTTAACCTTTTTCTTATTACAGTACAGAACCCGTTATCCAGAAATAAAAAAACCGGAAGAAACTATATTAAATTTTACCGCCATTTTCTTTCAAAACAATTTCTTTTCCTCATAAGATTTTAGGATTTTACTTTCTATTTTGAAAGATGTTTACCTTAGCGTCATTTTGGAAATAATCATTAGTGCATTACTTCATCATTTTTTCTTCTTTTCAAGATTATTTGCCAATAATTTTTGTTTTTTTTAGCTTGGTTTAACAATAAAAAAAAAACGGCTTTTTGCAGCGATTCAGAAAACCGAAAAAAAATCAGTTATCCAGAATAGCGGTGGTCCCGATCGTTCCTGATAATCGGTTCCCTATTGTACAATAACTTTCTCAAAATATTTTTTGAAAATAAAGTTTATGACAGAAAAAAAAAAATTTATTTTTACCATGTTCTCGAATAAACGAGAAGAAAACAGAAATGGTAAAATAGATTAAGCAATATAAAATAGAAATCAAAATATATTGAAATAGTAATAATCAATTATATTAACTTAATATACTTATTATAAATATATTATTTATTAACAAATGGACTTCAAACTAACAATAACATAAATTGACATTCTTAACAAGAAAAGTTTTGCTAAGATACATTTTATAAAAAACAAAATTAAAATATCTATTAAAAAAACATCTCTGAAAAAGATTAACCATGAGGCTAACCTCAAAAAAAAATTTTTTTGTTTAAATTTTCCAGTTTAAAATCAATTTCTAGTTGGTGTAGCAGATCACTATATGAAAATATCCCCAGTAAAAAATAGAGTGAAGTTGAATTATGATCTAATTAAAATATAAAACCTCATTAAAATGGAAAAAAAAATTACGATTATAAATATTATAGCTTTTGCATAATGAAACAAAAGGCAATGTATAAAAAACTATTTTAAAAATGAATTAACAAAAATTAAATTTCTCTTACTTCATACTTCCAATACAATACACAACTTAAATACTAGAAGTTCTGAAAAGAAGCACTACCGTATGGATCATATTTCAAATTTTATCTTTACCAACTTTCAGTGACCTGAAAATTTGCTTATGGGACCAAGTTCATATATATAAGAAATATAAACACCAATCTACACTAAAAATTTTATTTTTAAAGGTAAAACAAATTTCCCACAACAAATATTGTTCCTTTAAGTTCCAGAAGTAACATTTTGTACAATACAGTCAGGAATGATGCAATTACAGCATGAATATGTAAATAAATTTTTTATTCAAGTTTTTATATATATTAAAAAAATTCCAATTTAACACAAGAGAATCAGATTTCATAATTACAGAAAAAATACGATTAAAAATGAATATAGTTAATAAGATGCAAAAAATTTTAGCAAAAAATCTGGAATTTGGTTATATGTTACAGGCTACGTATGTTCACAATGTAGAGGATTACTTATCACGTGTCGTATAATAAATAATTATTCTTATTTTATAAGAATATAACTAAATATATAAATGATAAACAATGAGCAAGTTACATGCCAACGATGAAACAAAGAATCATCATAACACGACGAATTATCTGAGTCGTCAAGAATAAACAATGGGGATACCCTACTAAGAATTAATGCGTTGATCGTCATCAATTATGTACAAGTGATTATTCAGTAAAATAAATTAAAGATAAAAATTGAAAACTACAAAGGGATGTAAAAAAAATCCTTTCAAACACGTAATCGTTGGTTTCAGAAACAATTCAATATGTATTTTATCAAGGAAATAAAACACTTAGGCTTAAGGAGTCATCCAATAATAGACGCATTTTATCAACAATACAAGGGTGTAATGAAATTTTTACTTTAAATTAAAGTATACGAACAGAAGGTTTTATACCTACCTATCTTAATTTACGGGAATAACTTGAAATTTCTTGTGGGTATATCAACTACAATTAACAAAAGAAGTATATGAAAGACCACTCAATACATATCCACCTGACGTCTTTTCCTTCCGTTTTCTGCGTTGTTTCTTATCACTTGATGACTTGCAACCCTGACAGAAGGGCACGTGACTTCTACGTCGCATACGATTGGTCCAATACTTAATGAAGATCAGGCATGAAGTTCATGACCCTCAAAACCTGCCTTGGCCGGAATTCAAATATTGCAGTATGTTTTGGTGGTATGGAACAAAAGCTAGAAAAACAAATGCGACATGTTTACTGAGACATGATTACTCAGGAATAGCATTAAATTTAATATGTATCTGAGAACTGTCATGTGGAATTATTCCACAGAAACAGTAAAAATAGAGGAAAGAACAGCACTGATTTTCCGCACATCGCAGCAATTTTAAAAGAGGCCATTTCATACTAGACAAAATCCATATATTTATTACATTTTATGAGTACAGTGGTAGTTTTCGCCGCAGATTTGAGCATGAAAATGCGAAAATCTTTTGAAAATCATATAAAGTATTGCAAAAAAAAACCTCTCTCGGTTCTGGGACCATTTTCATTACATGTGGTTCTTATATGTGATTACACGCAAATGCAATTCACGCATGCGCGAGTAGTTCACCTTACATGTATTTTCGAAACAATCGCTCGCGCAGATGATGCATGCGGACATGGATGCATCAATTGCGTCGCAGTTTTTAGTTTTAGTGTGGAACAAACCACAAAGAAATATATACTGATAGAGATAAACTGAGGTGAAATGAACTGAAACCCAGATCCATTCCAAACACTGAATTGTTTTGTTTTCGTTTCCGAGAAGTTAGACATCAAGCGCAATCAGTTGATTTTGTATAATATTTACATTTATGACGGCTTACTTTTGAAAATATATGCTTAAACTTTTAAAGTTTTGCCAAATATTTGTCATTGCTAATCTTTTTTTATTTGTTTAGAATCGCTCATTAATAATTGTTCTGTTTAATCAAAAATAAACAGAAGATAGTTCCCTGTTTTAAGCAGCATTTTTTGACGGTAATAGCTTGAAACAGTAGTAACATTTAAAAATGTTTCTTTCGTTACAAAAATTTTCTATTTGATTGTATTGGTGAGTTATAAATATGCTAAGTAACTAAACTAATAGCATTCCTATCTATTTGTGCCTCTTATAACTTGAAGAAACCAGCTGTGTGGAAAGAATAAGCTACCTATATCAATTATTTAATTACTACTGCAATTAAAATTAAATACAGAAATTGCCAAGATACTAGACCTGACATTGGTTTCTAATAATTAAACCCAACATTTCAAATTTATGTCAGCTAAAACAATTTCACTCTTCCTTTTAATTCTGTTGACTTGATGTTTTAATTATTGCTTTTGAATTTTGTTTGTTTTGTGACCAACTCATTTTGGTTGATTCAGTTTCATTTTTGTATCCTGAGCTCTGAAAATATTCATCCTTAGTTTACAAATAAAGACATTGCCAACTGAACACCTTTGATTGCGGAGTGGAGAAGGGGAAAGAAGGATTCCTTTATTTAAGTCATGGTCTTGCAATTTGGTGTAAATTCCACTGCCAGATAGGTTTCATTCGTGTCTACTGCCATCCGTGCCATTTCGCAGTGAGCTAATAGCCATTGATGAAGCCCTTGACTCTCTTGTGTTTCTTCCGCATGGAAACGAGATATGGGTTCTGTCTGATAGCAGAAGTGCAATACAACACTTGACCAATTGGCAAAGCGGGAGAGATAGTGCTGGAGTGTCAATACTCATAATGTTAAAACGGCTTTCCATTTCGCGTCAGATTCATCTGCAGTGGATTCCTTCCCACGTCGATCTTGAAGGAAACCAGAATGCGGACAATTTGGTTAAAGCTGGTGCTTGTGAGGCCTCTGTGCCGTCGGCACCCCTCACCTTATTGGAAATATTTTCAATAATAAAACACAAAAACAAGACCACTTGGATTGTCCCCCCAAAGCACCCATGGTATCATTGTTCTCGACCTGGAGGCTCCCTGGCCCAAGGTTTTAATAGACAAGAACAAACTATTCTTGTCCTCTTTCGAAGTGGTCACCTTAAATCAATGAAATTTTCGAAGGATCCGAGAACTTTGTAATTTGTACCAACTGTTCTTCAGACCAGGCTTCGCCTCATCACATCCTAGCATGCCTGGGGCTCACCAAACAGGATTTAGCAGATGATCCATTGACGGTGTTGGATTTCTTGAGGGTGTATAACGTCATGGACCTGGTCTAGCACTGCTGGCCAATGGGGGCGTGCAACAGCAACAGGATTCTTTTCCTGTTGCTGGTTTGTTAATTATTTTATGAGTGTTTGATTTGGTGATCATCAGTTAGTGAATTCTAGTTAAAATGGAACTTAAGTTGTGACGCTAAAAAACCCTTTTAATTTGGAAACTGTGATAGTTTTTTAAGTCCTGTGTGTATTTGTAGAGTGATATTATTTTACAATATATAATGATAAACATCCGACCCAATTTTTGGTTTTACGACTACTAATGTTCATCTACAAAGCCTTGTAATTTTGAACCCAATCCAGAAGACAAGGGAACTGAAGAAATTTGCCTTTGTCAAGCACTTTTTGATGGAACTAACCCACATTTGCTTTACACGGAGAGGAAGACCATGAGAACCACCCTCGGTTAGCCTTACGGCAAGGGGACTCTCACCCATGAACCGTCTACCACTGAGGATATTTCACGTCAGCACAGTGGTCGATGCAAGCCGGATACGACATTCGTATCGACAAGGATTCGAACCTGGTTCATCTCATTGTAAGGCAAGCGCTCTATCCCCTGAGTCATCACGGCTCTTAGAGTGATGTTATTTTTTTTTGTTTTATTAAAATACAGTGTGTATTAAAATATAACTAAATAAGTAATTTATAAGTTTGTATTAAAATACAATTAATGACAAAAGTATTTGAGTTTTCCATATTTCCCCTATCTCCTTTATGTATATCACCATCTAGCATTTTCTATTAGCATAATTTTTGGAAACTTAAAATTTTGTCAAATGTGAGATTTGGCACCAAATATAATTTTTTTTATTTAACTTCTCAATGTACTTAATATTTGTGAATATAATCATTATTTTGAATGTTTTTTTTTGTTTTTGTTTTTCTTTATTCTTTCTGTTTTTTCTTAATATATGACCCTTACTTTTATCTACAGATCATGATTTAACAAAAAAAAATTTCAGGTTGTGGAGCAGATTTCCATCAAAGTTTGAACTGAAAAGAAAGTATATAAGAGAGAGGTTGATACAGGCTTGTACAGTAAAAAATACTGTAGGATTTCTACAGGTGAAAAAAGGGAATTCAAATCAGTGAGTATTAAAAAAGAAATGTTTGTTTTAAATTATTGCAATTTTAATATTTGTGATTTAAATACCGCCATTTAATAGATAGTCAAAATCTAATTGGAATGAATGGTAGTAGTTTTAACATTAAAAATGTAACTTAAACTATAAGTTGAAATTAATGTCAAAACAGTATTCACTGCTATAATAAGATTTAAATTAATGCATAATAATTTTGAAAAGGATTTTATCCCAGTGAAAATAAAGGGGTCAAGGTTACAGCACATTAATTTTATTTCCGGTAGCAGAATTTTCTTAGTGCATCTGCAGCACGATATCCATCCTGTGGCAGAATTTTTTCGAGTTATCTGCGGCAAAACTCTTATATCTTTATGCAAGATACTTTTAATAATGACAAACATATATGTTACTAATTTTAAAAAAACAAAAGTGCTGCTTTTACGAAAAAAAACTATATATATTTTATTTAATAGAACATGTAATAATTTTTTATTCTAATATTATGGGTCATATTCATGCATTTTGTTGGAGGGGAGGAGGAACACAAATTATTTCCTTCTTCGCATTTTGGAAATAATCATCACAATAAAAAAATAATTAAAAATCATGAAATCTGTGTGTGTGTTGTAGGAATTGCCGGAAAAAAATTTAAAACAAAATCACTCGAATCAAACTCCTCAAACACGTGTTTCATTTTGAGATTAGGTTGTTCTATTAAAAAATATAGGATTTAAAAACTATGGAGAATTCAATAGCAATAACTGCCAAAAATTAGATAGAATTACTGCATTGATAAGTAAATACTCGAATGCCTGATTTAAATGTTTCATTTTGTTTGAAGTTAATGGAAAATTTAAAAATCATGTGAATATCAATATTAATAATTGTCGAAAACTACAATTGAAACATTAGTACATCGATTTACGATACTATCAGCGTAAATTGAGTGCATCAAAAAGTGATTCTCTAAATGCATTATTCAAATATTTTGTGTAAATTTCTGTAGAAAATAGAAGTAAAATTTTTTGCTTTTCAAAAGAAAAGTTTTTCTGCAAGTACCCTTTAACGTTCTGCGACAATGTTGCCATGTCACTGCAATTCTGTCACAGGGATCTATATAAATTTAAATTTGTTTGCAGTCTCAAAACTTTCAGATATTATTATGATTATTAGATTATTATCAGAGATTATTATGTAAAAATTCAGTTTAATTTTACATACCTGTAGCAAATTTCGCAAATCTAAGTTTCTTAAAAATTATAGATTAAGTTGTTTAAATTTTAAAGGAGCCTCAACAATTCCCCCCCTCCCCCATTTCTTTTACATAGCTTTTTAAAAATGAAAAGAAAATTTACATGAATAATAATCTACAGTGTCCGTTGCTAGGCTACAGGATTTCTTTTTCTTGGAATTTATTTATAATAAAAAAAATATTATGCTTCTGTGTGCGAAAAAATGTTTTTGTTCATCTTCATATAGATATGTCAAAAAGCATTTCTTTCCCAAGATGTGCTTTTAAAGCTTTCAGCATAGACATGGGGTCAGTAGTCTGGAAATGGGTGATACAGAAGCTGTGTGGTTGCCATACTTGGATTATGCTTAAAATATTATTTACACAAGTTTTAAAATTGTTTTAATTATTTTAATCTCCTGTAAATTAGTGTAAACTTTTTGCATCAGTAAATTTAAGCTGATATCTAAGATAATATTTTGATAGCTGATACCTAAGATCATGGGTGCAAGTCTTCCGTCCCCAGGAGGGATTTCCGCCTTTGAAAATGTCCGCGGACGGAAGTAAGACGGAAACAAGACTGACTCGAAGACGGAAATCGGAATTTTTTTTTTTTTTTCTGTCCATAAAAATATTTTTTTAGGTCTACGTTATTGGTCTACTTTCTTATGTCCTGTTGTTATTTTATCAAAAGAGAGATGAATAAATATTTTTTGTACAGTATTTAAACTTAATGTATTATGGTAAAGTTTTCTTAGATATTTTGCATATGTCGAGGGGGTATTGTGTATGTTAGGTATTTTAGTCAAAAAAATTTCAGTCTTGGCCTTTTTTCCAACTTGCACCCATGCCTAAGATTTTATTGGCAAATTGTAGTCATACCTCAGGAAGAACATGGAAAACTATGGGGATTTAAAATTAGCTTAAAAAATCATTGGAAAAGATTGTTTTTGCTTAAAAAAATCTAGAAAAATTTAAATTTCAAGCCTTTTTATGATTCCCGGTTATAGGGACTGTGTGTTGGCAACTACATTTCCGCGACTGCTTTTCTAAGATATCTTTATTATGAATATTCTGTCCCTATAACTGACAAGGAGGAATTTTACTATTGTGATGTATTTTCAAAACATTTTGATATTTAACAGTGTATCACTATATTTTTCTAATTTTACTCATTTATGTTATTTTTACATTTGTCAATATTTCTTTACCCAAATACAAGGTAAACAAAATTCAAAATAATATTGTATTCAATAATTATTGTTGCATATAATTAACATGGTATTATCTTTCTAAAATGTTGTGTTACTGATAATAGTCGGGACTATATATTCAATAATTATTGTTACATATAATTAACATGGTTATTATCTTTCTAAAATGTTGTGTTATTGATAATGATCGGGACTATATCGCATTCAATAATTATAGTTATCAAAAATGATTGAGATATTATTGTATTCTATACATATTATTATCGTTTACGGTCGGGATTTTGTCATATTTTGATTTACCAATATGTATTAACCCTCTGAGCATTAGTAACACCTTTTTCCAAACATTCTGGTGCAGACTTTTCTGCATCAAAAAGCTTGTTTCTCCATGTTAGAAAATGGGTAAATAGTGCATAGCAGGAAAACGTTTGTGAGATTTTACCCAGGAGCTCAACATATGTAAATTAGAACCTGACATTGTTCTTAAGTGTTGGCAAACTTGGTTTCACAGTCTCTATAATTGATAAGCACCTTTTTTTACAGAGTTTTTTTTTCCTTCTTTTTTGTTAAATTTTTTTAATGACTTTTTGTTTTAACTTCTTTCCACAAAAGTTAAGTTTTTCAATGCATATATGTTATGTAGTCAATTTTGTAAACAGAAAGCTTTTCTTGACACTTATTATAAATTTATTTGAAGCAAATAAAGTTTTCAACCACGTAACTTTAGTAATTGTTAGAAAGTAATCAAAATTTAGCTACATTATTGGTATAAGATAAAGGGGGGGAAAACCATAATAGTTATCCGTTAGAAATATTTGAGATAAATAAAAAACTGTCAAACAGCTATAAAAAAAGTGCATGTTTTTATTAATGAAAAAAACTAAAGTTAAAGAAAAAAACAGAAATGGAAAAAAAATAATCTTAATTCTTAAAACAAAACTTCGATACATAAAATATTAAATTGTTCAATAAAATATTAAATTTTAATGAAAACATTGTTCATAATTGTTGCAATGATATCTCACCACAATAAAAGAATGCGATTGATTGAACGTCTACTTGCTCAACACTGAACATGCAATAACTGGTCAAAAGACCAGTTCTTGTATGTTGTATTGTATTGTAAAGTCTTGCAATGTTTAGTGTTAGTTAAACAAACAGTTTAGTGTTAAACAAAATTTTTACTGTTGTACCTAAATTTGTTCGAGTTTTTATTTTACCCAACATTTTGAAATGCTGTCTAAAGTTAAATTGAGATTATTTTTTAAAAAAACTCGAAATTTATAGAGTTATTACAAACAAGAAATAATGAAACAAAAGAGAGTAAAGATATGAAAAGCTTCATAAAAAAATTGGTGAACTTTCATGAGTACTAGTATTACCTGATATTCACTTATTAGCACTTATTACATCGATAATTTTCTTGCTAGTACTGTTCACTGAAGGTGTAACAAAAATTTATTAGGTTAGCTGTTATTTTTATCTTGTTTGCTGTAAAAAATAAATTTATAAAATGAAAAAATTTTGACAAAATAATCAAACCATTGATTTAATATATTTGCCATTATCATGGAAAGGTACATTTTGGATGCAGTAAGCTATACATTTCTGGTAAACAACACTAGATCGTGTTAATTAGTCAAAAAAAATAAGTTCACTCTTGAAAATTTTTTTAGTGGCACTTATGGTTGCCATTTACATAAATTTTCTCTCTAATTTGTTTAGATTACATTTGTGAGTTGTTTGTTTAGATTACATTACACAAGAGGAACATGTCACGTCTACACTACTTAGTAACTAATATTAAACAAATTTTTTTTCGCTTCTGTTATTCAAAGTATCTTAATAAAATATTTTTGAATACAAAATTTCAAATTTAAATTCAAAGAAATTTTTCTGTGGAGGTATAAATGTCACTTTTTTTTTTCTTTTACGGGTGTGACAATATTTGTAAGAAAAATAAGTAAACACATTTGTGCATGCAAAAACTCTCTATAATAGTAGTCAGTTTGTATGTTTTCAGAGATTTGAAAATTTTTTTGTTCAGCTGTATAAGCATAGCCTGATTTTGAAATCTGAGGCACAGAACTGTTAAGAGGCCCCATTGATCTTCAAATTTAGATGTACAAGATGCTTTTAAACTTTTTATAGCGTTAGTAAATTATGAATTTGTTTTTCTTTATTTCAATTGTTAACTCATTCTAATTGACAATTCTTTAAGAAAAACACAAAAAAAATATTTGTAGAACTTAATTGGCTCCCTGACATATGGGGCCATAGGCTCAGACCTCCCAAGTCTTATAATAAATAAGACCCTGTATATGATACCATAAAACTTAAAGATTTTTGGCACTCATTTTATCACACAGATATAATGTCACTATATATATTAAAATAAGCAAATTAACAACAAATTTTTTTTAAAATTCTTTTTCCTTAATATATAAAACAGCTTGCATTTTTGCTGTTAATATACAAAATTTGAATCTTAAAATTTTTATTCTCGTGTCCTCGTTTTTTGTGGATTGAGCGAGTTAGCTTGTTTCCTATGTAATAATAAT